TTTATCCATCCCTCCATGAAAGAAAAGGCAAAACCCACAACAGGCACTCTAACAACTAGACACTGGAAAAAGTCAGAATACATAAAAATGTGCTAGATTATAATTTAGTGAATTAAGACGTTGTTTTTGAATTGTGGTTGAAGAGAATAATTTTAAAAAACAAAACAGTCGTGGACCAATGGGAGGCCTTTGCTGATGAGCAGTGGACCAATGAGAGGCCTTTGCTGATGAGCAGTGGACCAATGAGAGGCCTTTGCTGATGAGCAGTGGACCAATGAGAGGCCTTTGCTGATGAGCAGTGGTCCAATGAGAGGCCTTTGCTGATGAGCAGTGGTCCAATGAGAGGCCTTTGCTGATGAGCAGTGGTCCAATGAGAGGCCTTTGCTGATGAGCAGCGGACCAGAACACCTGTCAACAGGTGCAGAAGTCTGACTGAGAGTCACAGAAACACCTGATGGCAGTGATTGGCTCAGAGGGTTGTTCAGCTAGCTAGTAGCTCACGGATCCATCAGGCTGGTTTGCTTGTGTGTTTATTTATTTTGTAATATTTCTGTTGAACCACAATTCAAACAAACATCATGATGTTCATGACATTTTTATTTATTATTGCTTTTGTCAATTCCAGCTGTTTGTTTTCCTTCTTTAATGGGAGGCTGTGAACACATCTGAGCACCACTGTAGCGCTGCGTCATCGGGCCGCCACTCGGCTACATCAGGACTCTGAGGTTTAAACGTTCTAAACGTTATGCTCACAGAAAACTCAAATCAAACGCTTCCTGAACAAACAGCAGCCACCAGGGATCCACATGTTTGTGTTCAAGCTGCAGTGTAAAACATCTGGATGTTGTGGCTGCAGAGCAAAGATGAACAGAACAAAGAGTTCGTCTGATCAGTTGTTTGTTTGCCCACCGTGATTCATGTCCAGCTGCTCTTCCAGCTCTCTGTCCTGCTCCTGTAGTCCCCTTCAGGGAGTGTTAATCCAGAATCTGTGATCATCCACCTCCTCTGCACCGTCACTTTGGTCTCCAGAGTCACCGTCGGTCAGAGCTCACACAGGAAACGGGTTCTAAAACCGGTTCCTCAGATGAACTGTGTTTGATGTGACGTTCTGTTGTTTCCCCGTCAGCTGTCTGGAGGAGCAGACGAGGACAAGGAGAGCGATCACCTCATCATCAAGAGACAGCTGCGCTCCAAAGCCTGCAGGAAGTGACATCATCACCAGGCGACCTCACGGAGCCTGCTCAGGGTCTCCAGCTTCCAAATGTCTGTACAGTTAGTTTCCTTCTGATCGTTCCAGTTTCCTAGTTTGTGATTTTTAATGTTTCGTGGTCAATAAAGATCTGAGAGAACGACACGACGACTGTCTTCACTTCCTGGAAAGTAAAAGCACAACGTTAGAACCAGCTGGCGTCCTGTAGTTCCACCTCGTACCTCCAGAACGGTTCTGACCATCAGGGCCGGGCCTCCAGAGGCCACTGGCGGTCGATCCTCTGGGTTCTGTAGGTGGAAGGTGGAACCTCTGTTAGAGATCTGGGCAACATCTTGGGCTCTTTGTCGAGTTCTTCACGTCATTCCCCAGCAGTTTTGTTCTCCTGGGGGAGAACACATGAAGACATGGACGTGGTCTGCAGGACCGTTTGTTGGTTCTCCGTGTCAGGTGCCGTCCTCATAGAATCTCTCTTTTAGGAACCACTCCTGTAGAACTTCCCTTTAAGGAACTACCCCTGAAGAACCTCTCCTTTAGGAACCTTCCATGAACAACATGAAGTTCTCCAGATATTACAGCAGAACAAACCTCCGTTGTTCTGGTTCGTACATAGAACCTGAGTCTCGTCCAGTAACAGAAAGACTTGAAGAACAGCTCAGGCCCGTTCCTGTAGAGGTTCCTCTTGAGTTCCTGCAGTAGAAAGGTTCCTAACTACAATCCACATGAAAGCAGGAGGTTCCCCAGCAGAACATTAGAACATCTGCTTCAGGGGTTTCAATGTTTAAACACTGAAAAACTCACTCTGAGGAATTCTCTGACGGGTCCAGTTTTATTCATTCATGCAGTTATCTGGTGACTTATTTTCTGTTCTAACGCCGTCCTGGTAGTTTGAGATTTGATGACATGAAGAATAATAAATGATAATAATATAATTGATAACAACAGGTGAAGCAGCAGAAATAGGATGAAACGTTATTCATTCTGTTTTCATTACGTTCTAATCACCTGTGACTGAATCAGTGTGGTTCTGGTTAGAACGATGCAGCGACTCCTCCTACAGGAGTCAATAACGAGAGACTGAAGGAGAATCCAACCTGCTGGATCAATGAATCAATGCAGCATGGATCAGAACCAGAGACCAGAGGAGCCAGTTGGTGGAGATACACTGTATTACCAAAAGTATTGGCTCACCTGCCTTGACTCGCATATGAACTGAAGTGACTAACGTTCCTCATCCAGAGGGTTTCATATGACGTCGGTCCACCCTCTGCAGCTAGAACAGCTTCAGCTCTTCTGGGACGGCTGTCCACCAGGTCCAGGACTGGGTTTATGGGGATTTTTGACCTTTCTTCCAGAAGCTCATTTGTGAGGTCACACACTGATGTTGGACCGCTGACCCGCTCTGTCAGGTACGTGGCCATGACCAGTCTGTGGCTGAGCTGCTGTCGTTCCCAGTCGCCTCCACTTTGTTTTAATACCACTGACAGATGACTGTGGAATATTTAGGAGCAGGAAAGTTCACGACTGGACTTGTTGCACAGGAGGCGTCCTATCACAGGACCACGCTGGAGTTCACTGAGCTCCTGAGAGCGACCCAGTCTTTCACAGATGTTTGTAGAAACAGTCTGCAGGCTTTGGTGCTTGATTTTATACACAGTGTGTCCATGGAGGTGATTGGAGCACATGGTTTTGATCATCTGGATGGATGAGTGAATACTTTGGGCAATATAGTGTACATTCAGCATGGTGGAACATCTTTCTACTGATGGTGGAACATCTTTCTACATCTGATGGTGGAACATCTTTCTACTGATGGTGGAACATCTTTCTACTGATGGTG